ATGAACAATTTGTACACTTCCTTTGGCAGACAGGCAATCACTCATTTATCCTGGGTGCATACCAGAAGTGGACTTGCCAGGCCATAGTGTACAAATATGCCTGTCATTAGCAGGTTCTATCAAAACTTTTCCAAAGTGTTTGTAAAAATTTTTTGTGCCCACCAGCAATGTATAAGGATTCCAGTTTCTCCATCAATACTTGGTATGGTTAGCTGTTTTAATTTTAGTCATTCTGGCAGGGGTGAAAAATGTCTTGTTTTAATGTCCATTTCCCTGATATCCAATGGTGTTGAGCATCTCTCACATGCTTATTAACTTTTGGGGGAAAAGAGTTTCTTTGAAGTGCCTTTCAGGTCTTTTGCCCGTTGCTTTTATTAGATTGACAGTATTTTTTATTGATTTTTGGGTGTTTTTTATTTATACTACATCTGAGTCCTGGATATAGGTATCAAAAATCTTTTCCACCTGTCTGTGGTTGTCTTTTCACTTTCCTCGTGTTGTTTTTTGATGGAAAGAAGTTCTTAATTTTAATTAAATCTAGTTTATTAGCTTTTTCTTTTATGGCTAGTGCTTTGTGTGTCCTGCTTAAGAATTCTTTCCCTTTCCCAAAGACATAAAGGTATTCTCCCATGCTTTTTTTCTAGGAGCTTTATAGCTTTACTTTTACAATTAAGTCACTGATCTTTCTTTAAGTAATCTTTGTGTATGGTGAGGGTAGGGGTCCAGTCCATTTTTTCATACAGATATCCATTTGGTACAGTATCATTTAGTGAATGGATCATCTTCTACAAAATGAACTTCAGTGTTGTTTTTTCTTAAGTCAGGCTGCCGTACGTGTGTGGGTTTATTTCTACGCTCTCTTTTGTGTTCCACTGGCCTACCTATCCTTATGTCAGTAAAAGAGCAGACTTTGGGGGAGGTTTACTTAGCCATAATAATGTGTGTGTGCAGAGGGGTCTCCTGACCCTGTAGAGCTGTTAAGACCCACACCCTTTGATTATTCAGATCAACAAGACCTGCTCTTTCCCTAAAGACAACTCCAGCCATCAGTCCTTCTCCTTTGCACTCTGGGTTTTCACTTCCTGTGATTCTGGCCCCTGTCCCTTACCTTGTGTGTATTGCTTATTCATTTCAATGAGCTCAGCTGTGCATTTAAAGGCATGGATGATATATTCTATCCAGCCATTCTGGATATTTTGAATCAGGAGAGTTTTCACTTTGTCTAATCTGTGACTTTGTTGGAAATGAAACATGTTAACTTCAAGAAAAAGGAAAGTCACACTAGCAGAGGGCTAAAAATAATATGGGATGTCCAAAATGGTGTTTAGCATTGCTCCTTAGAGAGAAAGGGAAGAAAATAACTTTCTGACTCTCCTGAAGCTTCTATCTTGATCCTTATGAGAGAACTGTAGAAGTCCTGGTTGGAAATGGGCATTGTCCCAGGTTTTGAGAAGGTTCTAAGATGCTGTGGCAGCCCTGCGGGGTCTGAAGCAAGCTGCTCTCTCATTAGACATTGCATCAGCATCACAGAGCTTTCTCTTGTGTCTTGTTTTCACAGTTTACATTCTAAAAGTGGTTTATTAGCTTCTCAATTTTGTCTCTCTTCTTTAGAAATATTATCAAGGATAATCTATGGTTCTTTGGAATAGCCTTCAAAGCCTGTGCTTTATTTAAATTTTTAGCTAAAATCTCTTGTGTTCAAAATCACCTAAATTCAAGTGTGAATATCCCATATTATGTATAATAATAATTCTCTTTTTTGTTCTAAAGACTTTTTTTAAGCAATTTTAAGTTCACAGAGAAATTGAGAGGAAGACGCAAAGATTTCCCATAGGTCCCCCACTCCCACCCATGAATAGCCTCTTCAACTATTCTTCTCTGTTTTTAAACCAATTGGCCTTAACAAAATGAAAAGGTAACATACAGAATGGGAGAAAATATTGGCAAATCATACATAGGACAGGGGTTAATATCCAAAATATATGAAGAACTCACATAATAGCAGAAAACAATCTCATTTAAAAATGGACAGAGGAACTGAATAGACATTTCTCCATATAGGTGGCCAACAGGTACTTGAAAAGACGCTCAACATCCCTGATCATCAGGGAAATGCGCATCGAAGCTGCAATGAGATACCACCTTCAGCCTGTCAGAATGGCTGGTTTAAAAAGACAACAGATAACAAGTGTTGTGGAGGATATGGAGAAAAACAAGCCCTTGTGCACTGTTGGAGGGAACATAAATTGGTGCAACCACTGTGGAAAACAGTATGGAGTTTCATAAAAAAATTTAAAAAGAAACACCATATGACCCAGGATTTTCACTTATAGGTATAAGCTTAAGGAAATGAAATCACTATGTCAAAGAGAAATTGACACCCCTGTGTTCATTGCAGAATTATTTATGGAAGCTGAGACATGGAACCATTGTGTGGCATATGCACACAATAGAATAGTATTCAGTCATAAAAAAGAAGGAAATCCTATAATTTGCAACAATATATTTGGATCTTGAGGGCATTATATTAAGTGAAATAATACACAGAGAGACAAATGTTGTATGATCTCATTTATATGTGGAATCTAAAAAAGCCAAACTCACAGAAACAGAGAACAGATTGGTGGCTGCCAGACACAAGGGGTGGAGGAATGAGGGGAAAAGGGGAAAGGGGGTCAAAAAGTACAAACTTCCAGTTATAAGATAATTAAGTTCTGGGGATGTGATGTACAGCATGACAACTATGGTTATGAATACTCTATTGTATATTGTAAAGTTGCTATGAGAATAGATCTTAAAAGTTCTCATGACACAAAAAATTTGTGACTATGTGAGGTGATGGATGTTCACTATATTGTGGTGATCATTTCACTATATATGTAAATCAATCATTATGTTGTACACCTGAAACGAATACAGTGTTATACATCAATGAAATCTATGTCAGTTATATATCAATAAAATGGGGGGAAGAAGCTATTAAGAGCCATCCATGATGGAGGAATTCGAGCACATGTTTGAATTGCTGTCCTGCCATGTCCTGACTGGTGATTTTAGTTGAGTTATTTTTCTGTGCTTCTCTTTGTTCACCAGTAAAGAAAAGTGATAGTACTATGTGCACCTACCTCCTGGGGCTAAGAACACTGCTTGCAGGAGGGCAGAACCAGTGCCTGACTCACACTCGGCAGGCAGGAGTCATAACCATAATGGAAAAACCAGTATTTAAAACCATCTCAAAGATACACTGGGTGTATTTTTTTCAGAATCTCATGAATATCACACTATCTCCTTATTTTCATATTGAAGCTATACCTCAAAGAGAAGAACAAAGTCTCTACTCAGCTAGCTCATTTTTGCTTGACCTTGAAACATCGTCTTAGCCTTTAACCTTCGCAAATGCCAAAGTGTCTTGGGTGGCTCCCTGCTGCTCCCTCCACAAAACTCTCCTTTTCTGTCTTCACAGAAAAAAAAGAGAAACACCAACTGGGAAAACAGCCCTCCAGCCCGGGCTGGCTGGCTTCCATTTCATTCTCCAAGGCGACAGAGAGCCCTGTGCTGCTCCTTGCATTCCTTCTCAAAAAGAAAGCACAGGCTGATTCACACATTCTGCTGACATCAGTACTCTGTGAAGCTTTTGTCCCGAAAATCAAATTCTGGCTTCTCTGGACAACCACCTGCCAAGTCCAGCCATGTATGGCAGCATCACTCTCTGCAGACAATCCCGCAGGCGGCAGCGTGCGGACCAGTCCTCCTCATTCGTGACCCAGGGCCACAGGCAGACACCACGGAAAGTTCATCGCACACTCGCTGCCCTGGCGCCACATGGGTGTTACAGAAACACTATTAGTGGTAAGGGTGTGCTGCAGCCAGAGAGATGGGCTCTAAAACTGGCCGAAGAGCTGGTTACCCGGCTGCACAATCCTTGAGGCCCTTGGGCTCCCTAGGCACCCTTTTGTCTGACAACCCCAGGGGCAAAAGCCCAGTGGTCCTACGTGTGGTGAGGACCGATCCTCAAACTGAGGCCCAGCGAGGATTCTGTGGTTTGGGAGGAAGTTTCTGTTAATTCTGGGTGGCCATAGTTCAACCCATGAAGTCTTCTCTGTTGTTAGGTATGTGGGGTAGGTGGAATGACCCCAAAGATACCCTAGTCCCTGGGATCTGACTGTGTCACACTGCACAGCAAAAGGGGCCTCGCAGGTGTGACCCTAACCCTGGATTATCCAGGCGGGTCCAATCTAATCAAATGAGTCTTTAAAATAAGCAGAGACATTTCTTGGCTGGAGGCAGAGAGATGAGGCAAGGTGGGGGTGTCAGAGAAATGTGCTGGCTTTGAGGACAAGGGAGTCACGAGCCAGGGCATGCAGGAAGCCTCTAGAGGCTGAGAACGGCCCTGCAGAGAGAAGACATACGTCCTGTGGCAGAATGGAACCAAACTCTGCCAGCAACCCAAATGAGCCTGGGAGCTAACTGTCCCCTCTGAGCCTCTCAATAGGAGGCCAGGCCGGCTGACACCCAGACTGGCCTTCTAGGACCCAAGCAGAGAAGCCAGCCACCCCTGCCAAATGTGAGCCTTACAGAAGGAGGAGACAATGGCTGGGCTGCTGGAAGCCTCTCAAGGTGTGGTCGGTTGTGAAGGCAGCGAGAGGAAAGCGAAGCAGCCGGGTGGGCGATGCAGAAAGGAGAGATGGAGGGACCTTCAGACGCTGCCTGGCACCCGATACCACAGCTGACACTTGGGTTGTGCCCAGATTTTCAAAACCAGGCCCTGTCTGGCCTCTCACTTGACCCCCAACAAATGCCATGAAGGGCAGATGAATCACACACCCCTTGTGTTCTTCACATGAGGAGCCCGCGGCAGGGCCCGTTTCATGATTTGCCTACAGTGGCATGTCGCGTCAGTGGAAGGACAGAGTTAGAACTCCAGACAGGTGGTTTCCAGCTGGGGAAACTTCCAGAAAAGGTTCTTAAAGAAGGCAATAAAGATCAGACTGTCCACTCACCTTTCTATAGATAGAGAATATGGTTCCAATGGAGGCCAAGCAGTCAATGTTGGAAGATCCATCCAGGGGGTCAAAGCAGACCACGTATTTTCCCTAAAGGCACAGAGGGAGAAACCACCTGATCAGGTCACCTTCCAATCCACACACTCTAAGTGCATGTGCAGGCAGGCAGCACCACATCAAAATGCAACTTAGAGCAAAGGGGTGTGTTTATCCAAAAAGGCAGTTCTTTGAGAGGACAGCGTATATGATTTGTGCAGCTAATGGCAAACATGCCCATGAACAAGTTGATGCCCATGTGGGGTGCTCAAAGTCCCAACTGCCTGGCTCTCCTCCTGCCTCCTCTGGCTCTGCCTCACCCCCCCCCCCATGCCTGGACCTTCAGGGGCCTCAGGACCCCGTGCTGTTGACAGTGCGGGAGGAAACAGGTCTGAGATCAGCACCTTGCAGGGAAGAGGTGGAGAAGTGGGAGATGCACTTGGGTAGCTCTACCCACATCCTCGGTAAGGTCCGCTCTGGATTATTGATAATTCTTTCTGAGTCTTTCCCCAGGTCAGCTTTGTTCATTTGGAGCATTTTTGCCAAAAGACCAGAAACTCTCAGAACAACGTCCCAGGACCTCTGGGTCTGTCTTATTAAGATAGTTGTTGTGCATGAATATATCAGGAGAATAAAAATATTGTCTGGGTTTTGCTGCAGCCAACCCACCTGTCCGACATGAAGGCCAGAGAGCCAGGCAGGTGGGGGTCCGGCCCACCCACGCTGCTGTCACAGGCTGCTTCATGTGAACAAATCACCTGACACTTTTACAGGCCTGCTACGCACAAGGCCCTGTGAGAGCTTCAGAGGTGGGGACAGAGTCTTCTGATTAATTAAACACTGGTAATAAAACATCAAGTAGAACGTGGTCATTTCTCCTGCCACTAAACTCACCTTTCCCTGACTTTCTGATGAGCAATGCTCTAGTTTAAAATGACCTTTATTTCTTTTCTTTGTATTTTTTCCTTGTTCAGTGGTGGTGGTCAGAGGCAGAGGCAATAATCCATAAATTTGGAAATTCCCCATTTTTCCCACATATAATCCCACTGAGCCCATTCATTCAAGCATTCATTCAACAGGTGTTTGTTGAGCAGCTAGCATATGCTGGGAAGTGTTCAAGTAGCTGGCATCGAACAAGCATGGAGTTTTCAAGAACCAGCATGAAGACCTGTGCAGCTCAGGCCAGCTGGGGAAGAAAATGGAGATTAGATTGGAGAGATAATCAAGGGTCATATCAGTAGAAATTTATAATTGAAAATAACAGGTGTGATTTAGCTTAAATTATGTGAAACAAGACTAAAGTGCCTTTCACAGTCCTGGGCACACAGGAGCACTTAGTAACCTGGCTTTGCCTTTCTTTCAGCTAATCATAAATGGTACCTGGTCTCTGATACCCGGTGTATAAAGTAAGAGTCAATTACGCCAGCATTAATGGTGTATCACTGTATCACAGCTGAGCATGGGTTGAATTTTGTGGCCACCAGCAAATCTCTCACTTTGATAAATTGTTTGTGAAACCTTAGTGAATATCGACCCTCCCCAGTCCTGCCCTGCCCTAACCAAGTTTATCAGTGTATTAAGGCAAGAGCCCACAATCTTTATGCTTTCTTTTCTGTGTTAGTCTAACAGTTTGTCAGGCATGAAGAAATTTCTGCTGAAACCATAACTTTCTTGGGGAAGTGTGTGTTGGCGTGCGTGAGTAATAAAAATGGGGATAGGAAGAGTAAGAAGCCGTACAGTACGGCTCTTCCCAGGAACTCTACTACTTTTACTGGTCTGGATTTTCAAGGCCCCCAAATGCCAGCACTTGTTATGGGTACAATAAGTGGAAACTCAATAACCCACCCCTTGAGGCATTTGGGGAAATCACTCTGATTAATTTCTTGAATCAGCCACTGCGTTGGTATACAGTATTTTTTCATTAGACAGCATGAGGCTTCCAGCTAAAGTACTTGGTCCACTTTTTTCCAGAAAAGTTAAGAGAAAAATCCCACAACTTTTGCAACTCAGTACCACCCTCCGCTGGTGCTGAGGGGAACTGCAGCCTGGCCGCGCACGCACCCTCTTCTCCTTGGGAGTGATAATGGCTTCTTTGTTCTCTTCCGAGACCAGAACACAGGTGCTGTAGGAGGACTGTAGCATGTTGATCACCAGGGAATTGGATAACACGTCCAGTTTCTTCACCTCATCCCCTGTCACGTTCACGCTTCCCGCAATGCCATACCTAGGAAGACAAAAGGCTGTGGGAAATCAGTAAGGCGTCCCAACCCCCCGCACAGCATCCGGACTCTGGCACACCTGCACCCCCACCCCACCCCGTTTCCTTCCGCGGCTCCAGAGTCTCCGCTTACGCATACGCGGCAAGCACAGCATGTCTCAGGGCGGGAGCCTCCCAGGCTTGCTTCCTTTCCCCCTGTGGTATGGTCATAGTCCTCCACCAATTACCTAACAAGAATCCGATCTTACTAACAGCCTGCACTTGACACTGGGATGTGAAGACAAAGACTGTAACATCAGAAGCTTGTCATAATTAATGGCTCCAAAAAGTAAAGGGCCGTGGCTTTCCACACTGGAATTCCAAGCATGTGTTAACCTCAGGTAGTGGCCGGCTGGTCTGAATTAAAAATCGCTCTGCTGTAGCCTGGTGTTACTTGAATAAGAGGGAAATTTGGGGACCAATTTAACCAATTTAATTTTCTTCTTCACTCCCATTTCAAGCAATATAAGAAAGAGCACTACTGGGAAGATTCTATCTAGCTTTGTCTTTTTGTGTTTTAGGTTCCAAGGGTCTCCCAGCTTCCACCATCATGGGAGGGGTCCTTCTAAAATACACTTCAGATCTCACTCGGGGTTCCCACCTTCCCACAGTGGGCTTCAGGCCGCCCCCACCCACACCCCCCGCCCGGACGCCCTGTTCCCACGCTGACATTGCCTCTTGAACTGCTCACCTGACTCCGGTCTCAGCCTCAGGATCCCACAGGGCACACGCCTGCCTTACACCCACCCATGTGGCACCTTTGTGGTTTGAGTAGGGCACCCAGCACTCCTCCCTTTTCACCTTCCCTCATGGCGCTCCCCCTCAGGCAAGCTGTCTGCCCACCTTCAGCTTTCCCTGCTCCCCCTGCTGACCCTGAAGCTTCCCTGTCCCACCACACACTACGCATGGCCCTGAAGTTCCTTCCAGAGCTGCTCACCATCTGTTCATGGGACTGTCTTTCCTGCCAGACTCTCTGCTCACTGAGGGCTAGGACTCTGGCCTATTGTGTTGGTTTCCACGGTGCCTGAGAACATAGCAGATGCTGTCTCGCCTGAGGGTTTCAGCCCCAGGCAAGTTCATTCTGGATTCGGTGAGACCGAAAAATGACAATGGAACTTTCGAAGCAAAAGGGTTTATACCCGGTTTTATTCTTGGGGTGGCAGGTCAAATGTTAGAATTCCATCCACCTCAGAGCAAGTCTGCAGGCAACAAGCCAGTCTCTGCCTGCAGCCTCTCCGCCTCCTTGCAGCCTAGTAGTAACTCATTGCCCACATGTGTACAAGCCTGCACCTGTGAGCACTGCACCACATGTATCCTCAGTCTGAACTCACCTGCAGTGGTCTACAACTATAGGCCCTGCAGGATATCTGTCCCCCAAATACATTTGGGGATAGGAGAGATATACACAGTATACTGTATACAGATGCCCTATTCCCAGTGGGATTTGGGCTTGTTTCACTCTGACAGTCTTACCCCTGTATCCATCTATAACAACAGGGGTTCTGGGAAACCACTCGGGGTTGCCACAAATCATTGAGTATTCAGCTCCTGTGTCCACCAGGGCCAGGACACATTGTATGTTCACTGGGAGCCAAGAATTGATATTTCAACATGTGGCCCCTGGTTCCGCCAAGAGCCAGAGGGGAGCCAGAGGGGTGTGGCCCCCCAGACCCCCAACGCAGATGTCTTGACCCTCCCCTCAGTCAAACCATATCGCCAAATTGTCTTCCTGTGAGGTTCCAGGTGGGGTCAGCTCACTCTCCACCAGAAATTCCTGCAGGCACACAGGCCAGGCTTGTGGCTTTGTCTCTGTCTCCATTTCTTGGTCCTCGCTTTAGCCAACTGCTGAAACTTGCTCTGGCTTCAGTGGCTGCCACAGCTCCAGTAAAATTTTATTGAATTTCCATCCAGTTTCTCTCTGTTTGTTCCTGCTTTTATCAAATCAGCCCACATATGGATCCTTGTGACCTTCATGGGGCTCTTTAAACTGTTCCTCTAAGTAGCTGACCATATTCCCTTCCATGCTCTCATTGCTTCAGCCTCTTCCAAGTCTGATACAGTATGGGTAGCCTCACTGATGGGCTGTCCTAAGTGAGGGGCAAGAATGATCACTAGGGGCCCAAAGAGGGATGTGGAAGCCATCTGAAGCACCACATTCCTCATCCTTATAGTAAAATGTTCCTCATCTGGGCCATAATTCACTAGGCTATAAATGGCATTTTTCATGCCTTTGTTGGATCTCAGCATATATCTGCCATCTAGTGGGAAAAAGTGATAAATCACCCTGGTTGGACCACAGGGCAGGAAGCACGGCCATAAGTTTATCAGGGAGGGAGTGATTTTGGGGGGTCTGATGTGCATTTTGCAGTTGTTTCCACAGGGCAGGATGAGTCATCAGGGAAACCAGTTTTCCCAATTCTAACCAGGACAGAATGATTGCATTAACACCTACATCCCAAAGATGCTGAAGCCAAGCTCATAGTGACTCCAAGGGCTTCTGCTGAAACCGGGAGCCCAAATCCACCAGCTCAGCCTGACTGTAGGGGCAAAGCATAGAGTGCTCCATGACCTGGGGAGGGGGCTGTGCCTCTCCCAGAGGAACCATCAGTTGCTGTGTATCTATTTCCTTGACTACAACTGGGCAGGATTTCAATAGAAGAGGGGTCATCTCCTCTGGCCTCTACCCCCTTATCTTTCCCCAGCTCCTCCTCCATTTTCAGGGCTGATGTCACCTTTCTCTCCACTCCCCTGAGTGCTTCCTCAGCTACACCCTTTACCTTTTCTACAGTGCCTCACATCAGCGCTAGCTTAGCTTCAACAGCTGTCTTACCTTCACCTCAATACCTCACAGCTGGTGTTCTGTGCTGCCTCTTGTGCTTTTTGCAGGAGTACGACCTTCTCTTCCATGGCTTTTGCCTCTTCCATAGCACTTTGCAGCTTGCATTTTTGTGCTGTTTCTTTTTGTACTACCATTACATCCTTTACCATCTCCACAGCACCTCACAGTGACACTGTCTCGGTCACCAACAAATTTCTTACCTCCTCTATGGCACCTGGCAGCTTGCATTCTCATGCTTCCTCTTCTTGTGCTTCTTGCAGGAGTACGTCCTTCTCCTTTATGGCCTTTCTTAATCACAGTGAGAAAAAGCCAACCCATGGTTCCTGTCTCTGTGTGGACATTCGTTTCTCCAAAAAATTCCCTGTTTTGCTGAGGGCCAACTTTACTGCTTCAGGTGTCACCTCCACCTGACTCTAGTCCTGGGGTGGGGCCCAGTCCTCTAGGAGGCAAGCCACCTCGGGCCACATGCCCACTGGGGGATATCGAGTGTCTCCCCATCCACAGGGGCAGCCCACTGAAGTACCCCTCTCATAAGGGCAGCTTATTCTGGTTTTTTTTGGTCTGCAGTAAATCCTGCCAACTACACCAAATGTCTCCCCTGTCAGCCCTGGGAAAGTTCACTCTGGATTCGATGAGACCAAAAAATGACACCAGAATGCTGGGGGTAAAAGGGTTTATACCCAGATTTGTTCTCATGTTGGCAGGTCAAGTGGTAGAATCCCATCCTCCTCAGGGCAAGTCTGCATGCAGAAAGCCTGTCTCTGCCTCTAAGCCTCTCTGCTGCCTCGCCGCCCCAGAGCACTGGGTGGAGCTCTTTACATAGAGTCAATAATAGCCATTGCCCACATGTGTGCAAGCCTGACCCTGTGAGCACTGCACATGCACAGTGGGTGAGCAGAACAGAGTCAGGTGAGGATCCTGGCCATGCAACTTCCATTCTCCCTACAGATACCCTATATGTGTCCGCTGGATTATGAAGAAAGGATGGCAGGAAGGTACTTTCCCTTCCTCTACCTTTTCAATTTATTTGTTTCAATTTATTTAAATACCATTTATTTGTTGAACGAATCTTCAGGTGGTTCTAACAGGTAGCCAGGGTTGAGAACCACTGATCTACCCTAAGTGGGACACAACTCACTTACTCACTTCCCACACTCTTCCCTGATTGACAGCCTCTCCTCTCCACCACAGACCCTCCACCCATTATTTGCTCTGATGTCATGTGATGTGCAGAGAGGGCTGCCTTGGAAAATGATATTGGTAGCCTGGCCTCAAAGACTGTACCTTCTGATTCAAACAAAACCAAGAAAAAAAACAAATAGCATGAAAAAAACTGGGTAATTTTTCCATCAGAGTTTAAAGGGACCACAAACCCATCCTTTTGTTTAATGTGGAATCTCTTGGCAGCTGCTGCTGGAGAATGAAGGGCCAGGTTGCCTGAAGACTGGTGAGAAGAGCTGAGAAATAGGCTCTCTCTCCTGAGGGTTGCAAGGCCCCCCCGCACCCCATCAACCCCACCCTTACTGCATCCCTCTGCACCCTCTCTCCAGGTGCTGGGCATCCTGCTGTGTCTATCCCCCCACCTCCTCCTTCCAAAATAATGGAAGCTCTTTCACAATGGGATCTAATTGCCTGACAATTGCTCTGAGTTAGATCATGGGTGAAAGACTGTCTTATAGCTCACAGGACATTTCTTTACCATTTTAACTAATACTAAAGCTTTACTGACAATTGTTAAACAAAGTGTTCTGACATTTTGACAGTGGAAAGCTATGGAGAGGCTTCCAGGGGAGGCATTCTCTTCTTCCCACACCATGGAGCAGACAGAAAACAAGGGGAAACATGAGAATTTTCCAGCACTTTTGCATTTATTGAGCCTGTGCCTAGAAATGTCTTTCCAAAAAGAGGAAGCAAAGGAAGGAGGGGCCTTGAGGACCCCTAAATGGGAACGTGGCAGGAATATGGGAGAGTCCCATTCTCCTGTGCAGAATGGCTCTAGGACGTTGGGCAACCTTTTAGCAATCTGAGAAGCAATTCCAGGGTTATATTAAAGTAATCTCAGCATCTTGGTAGAAGGAAGGAATTTCCAACTAGCGGGCTTCTCCTGCTGCCACTTTGGGTCCACTAC